ATGATTTCCCTTGGCTTTCCCAGGCGGCTTACATTACAGCTTCCCATTACAGTTAATCAATCCTAAATTTATATATCAATAACAATAAAAGCAAAAAGGGATGCGGTGGCTCAGTGGCTAAGATGCTGAGCTTGTCGATCGAAAGGTCGGCACGGCAGTTCAGCTGTTCGAATCCCTAGTGCGGCATAACGGGGTGAGCTCCTGTTACTTGTCCCAGCTTCTGCCAAACTAGCAATTCGAAAGCACATAAAAAAGTAGAAAAGTAGAAAAAATAGGGACCACTTCGGTGGGAAGGTAACAGCGTTCCGTGCGCCTTAGGCATTTAGTCATGCCGGCCATATGACATGGAGACGTCTTCGGACAGCGCTGGCTCTTTGGCTTTGAAACGGAGATGAGCAACACCCCCTACAGTTGGGAACAACTAGCACATATGTGTGAGGGGAACCTTTAACTTTACCTAACAATAAAAGCAGTAAAAAGCATAGAACCAAGCCACACACATTTCAACGGCCCATTTGCTTAAAACAAGAGCTTGAAGAATGACTCACACATACCTTTTCTGTAATCATGGCCTTTGAAAATACCAGAAAGGCCACCAATTCTCAGCCCTCGGTACCTGACAACTCCAGCAAAACCTGTAGAGAATAAGAAAATAACCTTGACAAAAGAGATGCAGGAAACATTACCTAGGCAAAAGGCAACAATTTTAAATCCAGAACGTCCAGATAACAATTGAACACTTTTCAGGAAGGTTCCTCCCTAATTCTCAAGGCCCAAAACATCTTAAAAAGTTGCACAACAATTAAAAAATGTAGCATGGAAAAAAAAAATAAAGATATAAAACGCTGGAGGGAAAAACCACCTGCTTCAACATCCGGAAGCAAAGTTGCTGCAGTTAAAATGATGTGTTTTTATGATGTTCTGCGAAATGGGCAGCTGTATAAATATGATGGATAAATAAATAAAATACTGATAGAAGGACCACATTGTCTCATCCATGTAGGTTTCCACCCCTTCTCCCTTTCTACATCAAGCATGTGATACTATCAAGCTAGAAAGCAAAAAGAACAATACCAAGATAATAGATGTTGGGGGCCACCCATCCACCGTATGGTAACTCTTGCAAGTGGTTTGAGGCCTCGTGGTTGCCACCAATGAAGATAGTCAGGATAGGCGCTTTCTTCTCTCCAGAATAATATCTAGGAAAAAAGACAGTTGGAAGTTTGAGCTGTTAAAGGTCCAGGTTTTTCTATTTCGATATCCTCTACTTAGGAGAAGTCACAGGAACACCATTAATTAACCCTTTCAATAGGAACTGAATGGAAGGGATTTGCCAAGAAGGTATGACTGGTAGGTATAAAATTATAGCTGTGCTAGTCAAATAAAACATGGTACATTTCTTTGTTTTTTTAAACCATTAATTGGTCGTCAGTTGCAATTTTTAAAAATGAAAGGCTGTGGAAGGCTGAGATTAGTTGTAGTTGTGTTTTAACCGTGCACACCACCAGAATCACATGCAAATGAGATGGGTGGCCATATAAATTTAATAAATAAAATAAAATAAAATAAAGGAAATGAGAAGTTCCTTTTCCCATATTGTACAGCCAGTTTGGGGTAATGCAGATCTGGGTATTTTATGGCCCCCGGGCCCCATCCGGTCCTTTGGCTGTCTCTGTCTGGCTTGCATGGATTCCTTTTATTTTGAAGGTGACGGCTATATATATATTTTAATTTACATATGCACATGCCTCCATGCCTACGCACCTTCACAGGCCTATTGCTTTGGCCTTCCATAACAGTCCCAGTTTCTCACGTTGGGAAAATTAATTGCCCACCCTTGATGTAGTGGTTTAAGACACCACGCTAGAAAGCGGGAGACCATGAGTTCTAGATGGGAGACCTTGGGTCAGTCCCTCCCTCTTTGCCCTAAGAAGGCGGCAGTGGCAAATCACTCCCAAAATGTTGCCAAGAAAACCACAGTCCTGTCCAGACAGTTGCCAGAAGCCAAAAACTGACTCAGAGGCGTAGAGTCAGTTTGGTGAAGTGATTAAAACACAGGGCTAGGACACTGGTTCTTGGGCACAAGCAACTAGTTGGCCTTGGGCCAGTCACTTTCTCTCAGCCCTAGCAAGGAGGCAATGGCAAACCACCTCTGGAAAAACCCTGCCAAGAAAACGGCGGGGAATACTAGCCCAGGCAGTTGCCATGAGTCAAATCAAAAGCACACAAGACAACCACTGATGATGTTACCTACTATGGGGAATGAAATGTCTGCAAGAAAACAACCAAGCTCAGAGAGCACCAAGCATCCCTCACACAACCATTTATCTCCAGGCGATCGATGGGTATGTATGTTTACGTTGGCCCAACATTTCTGTCCCAAAACAGATGCCCTTAATTGCCACTCAGGAAAGCCCCATGGTAAATGGGGGATTAAAGCGGACTCTTCCCTTCCCCATCCAGCCCCTTCCCCACCAGATGGCACATCCCTAGAGTGCTGGCCAGGCTCAGCAGCTCTGCGGGCCCGCTGAGCTGCTGAGCCCGCTCTCATAGACTAGAATAACAGAGAGGGGAGGGACCTTGGTGGTCTTCTACTCCAACCCTCAGCTCAGGCAAGGAAACCTTACGCCCGTGATGGCAAACCTATGGCACGAGTGCCGGAAGTGGCACACAGAGCCATCTCTCTGGGCACACCAGCTCTCGCCCGTTGCTCTTCCGGGTTCCGGCGCGCACATGCGCACCAGCCAGCTGGTCTGCACGCATGCAGGAGCGCCGGAAACCTGGAAGAGCAGCTCGCCGGAAACCAGAAGCTCAGCTTCCCGGTTCACGCATGCACACCAGGGAACTGCTCTTCCGGTTTCTGGCACTCCCATATGTGCGTGCTGGGAAGCTACTCTTCCGGTTACTGCCGTTTCCCTGCACACCATGCTCCCATCTTGGCCCTCAGTGCCAAAAAGATTCACCAACACTGTCCTATGCCATTTCAGACAAATGATTGTCCACTCTCTTCTTAAAAACTTCCAGTGTTGGAGCATTTATAACTTCTGGACACAAGTTGTTCCATGGATTAATTGTTCTCACTGTCAGGAAATTTCTCCTTAGTTCTAGGTTGCTTCTCTCCTTCATTAGTTTCCACCCATTGCTTCTTGTCCTGCCCTCAGGTGGTTTGGAGAATAGCTTGACTCCCTCTTCTTTGTGGCAACCCCTGAGATATTGGACCACTGCTCTCATGTCTCCCCAGTCCTTCTTTTCATCAAACTAGACATACCCAGTTCCTGCAACCATTCTTCATATGTTTTAGCCTCCAGTCCCCTAATCATCTTTGTTGCTCTTCTCGGCACTCTTTCTAGAGTCTCCACATCTTTTTTACTTCGTGGTGACCAAAACTGAATGCAGGTAAAAAAAAGCCTTTTCTTGCATTTCAACTAATAACAACTCCTATTACATAACGTGTTTCCCCGAAACTAAAACACTGTTTTATATTTTTTTGTACCCTGAAATAAGCGCTTGGCCTTATTGCCGATGCTCAAAAGCCCGATTGGGCTTATTATCAGGGGATGTCTTATTTTGGGAAAAACAGGGTAGTAGTATTTACATTTATGCATTGTTGTTTTTGTTTGATGGTTCAGTGGCTTCTAACTCCTTGTGACCTGAAGGAAGTCAGTTCCGTTCTTCGTATGTTTTAGCCTCCAGTCCTCAAATCATCTTGGTTGCTCTTCTCTTCACTCTTTCTAGAGTCTCCACGTCTGTTATTTTTTTATTTTATTTTTTACAATCGTGGTGACCCAAAACTCACCACGCTGCTCTCGGCTCTCCGCCTGCAACGGATCTTACTCCCCCCTACACACACACCCCCACCCCGGTCCCCCCCCATTCCGGTGCCCCCCACTCACTTGGCAAAGCCTCCCAACTGGCGGTACTTGGACGGCACCGCCATGCAGCGCAGGTCGGCCGCGTTGCGCACGGCTTGGAAATCCCCGGCGCAGAGCAACAAATCCGGCCTGGCGTCGCCGTGGCGCTGCTCCAGCAGCTGCAGAGTCTCGTACAGCTTATCCAGCGCGCCATGACAGCAACCGGCCACCGCCACCTTCATTTTCCCGGACGGGACATGCGCGCTTTCGTCGGGCCGGCCTCTCTCTTTCTCTCACGCAGGCGCCCGCCTTCGCTTTCGGGGACGCGGCCGGAACCAACCGCCGCTTCTTGGGCATTGTTGCTCATGCGCCCGGGGAAGGCGAGCCGGGGTTGCGCGGCTTGGCTGCCTTGCAAACGGGCGAGGGGCTGTTTTTAGAGCGGGAGGGAGGCTTCTTTTCTTTTTTTTCCCCCCCTTTTGCTTTCGTCCTTCCTGCCCCAGAACTTTTTTTTTTTTTTCGGATGGCTTCCTCTGGAAAAATGGCCTGGAAACGAAAGATACACGAGAGCAGCGCGCAGCGGAAACTCCCTAAAGTCGCTGCAGCCGTCCAGTCCCGTCTAACCCGTGGAAAATTCGCTTTTAGAAACAAGCCCCGACTTTGAATAGCATTTTGCTTTTTTTAGGGCGCCTTTCCTTTTCCTAACGATGTGCATGTTGTTATAGGCGAGCCAGTTTGGTGTTGGTGGTGAAGGCTTAGTAGAAACTAGGAGACACTTAAAATTCTAGTCCCATTTTAGAAATGAAAGCTGGTTTTAGGAGGTGGCTTGGCTCCTCTCTCTCTTTCTCTCAAAAGCCCAATCCAATCCGCCTCACAAGGGTTGTTGTGGGGAAAACAGGATGTACGTTTGCTGTCCTGAGTTACTTATAAAATGGCAGTAACAGAGTTGGAAGGGACCTTGGAGGTCATCTAGTCCAGCCCCCTTGCTCACGCAGGAGACCTGTACTCGGGATTCGAACCGCTGACCTTTCTGGTCGACAAGATCGGTGTCTTAGCCGCTGAGCTCAGTGTCTTAGCCTTAAGTAATACAGTAAAATAAATAAAATAAAATAAAGGCAGGGTAAAAATCAAATAAATTCATAAATGGCCGCCACAGATGGGGTGAGCAGATCCATAGGTGGTAATTCTGGCCTCCTGTTTGCAATTCAGCCCCTAAACCTGCCATTAGGGTGCCTGGGGAAAGATTATGAAATTTGGCAGAAATGTGTGTAAAATTCAGGAAAGGGCGTTGGCCACGTGTTGGGCACTTGCCATAGACGTGACTGAGATTGTCGGTGGGTGAAGCGGAACAAAAACATATGACAGGGATGGCGTTTCCCAACACCCTTGGAAATAAAACTTCGACTCCAGAATCTGGAGAAACTCAAGTCACTCTTAAAGTCAGTTTCCCCCCCAGGTTGTCGATTGCACCATCAACGGGCCTCAACTGCCAAGTCTTCTCTTCCCTCCCTCTCTTCTCACGAGGTCAGTTGCATAACCTGTAGGAAAATACCAGAATGGAGTTGCCCAAACCTATTATTGAACCCAAATTAGCTCTAGCCACACCTTTCCAAGCAATGCAGATGAACATGGAAAAGGAGACGCTGCCGACACTGCCTAGACACCGACAGTAGCAGTTGATACCCCGTGGGGTCGACAAAGGGTGCCGTGTATTTTGAGTATGGAGTTGCTCCTGAGGCAGGAGCGGAAAATGCCGGATCTGCTTATACCTTGGCAAGGTTCCTAAACCGCAGGGAAATGGCCATATGCTTCCTCTTGATGATCTGCTTTATTTGGATGCCATTTGTCGTTTCAGGTAGGTGGTGATACCCACAATTCAGGCAGGCCTTTAAAGCAAAGTGAAAAAATAAAGTAATATTTCTATGGATTTAGAGCCAAAGAAGGTAGAGTTATTTTTGACCAGAGTTGCAAAAGTTCAACAGATCCTTTGTAGCTCAACCGGATATAAAGAACAGACAATGTCGATCCAGCTTCCTTAACAAAATGTGTTTTTTCCCAGCCACTGGATTTAGGAAAGAGGAAAATTGTTTTGTTTGTAATATGAAACTCTTGGACAACGTTAATGTGTAAAACTGTGAATTTCTGTAATATTTAAAAACAGGTATTTCTAGAACGTCACTTAAATAGAATTGACAGTTGGACATTGGTTAAAAAAAAAGAACAGAATAATCTGATAAATTGATAGAGTGATGAATACGCACTGTATTAATTTCAGCAGATTTATGCTAGGTGTTATGTTTAAATTTAGACTACGCTGCCAACAGCTAAGGAGAAAATCATAAGACCTACCGTGTTTCCCTGAAAATAAGACACTGTCTTATATTTTTTTGAACCCTGAAATAAGCGCTTGGCCTTATTGCCATGCACTCAAAAGCCCGATTGGGCTTATTATCAGCTGATGTCTTATTTTGGGGGAAATCGGGTATCCTTCAGGTATACCGTAACGGTGACTAAGAATAATGTTTGTACTGTAATGTCATTTCCTATAATATCTGTTGTGGGAAGAAATGGAATACCTTAGAACGATGGGTCGATCGTAATTTTGAGGCAGGAAACAGAGGATGCAATGGGATTAGGGAAAATTATCTTTCAGTTTGTGTGTAGTGTTTGATGTTCAATTCAGTCCGGAAGTATCAGGCAAAGGCTATCCAGAGTTATTTTAGAGCTAGGTGACCTTAGTTAATAAATAAATAATAAACAAGACTGCTTTTCCTAATATGCAATTCCAGCCATGTTATTCCAGTAAATGGGATAGGAAAGGTAGCTCGTTTTTGACTTATTTTATTTATTACATTTATATGCTGCTCATCTCATTGTCATGCAACTCTGGGTACCTGATTTAGAATCGTCTGTTCAAAGTTACAAAAACCTTGAGAAAAATTACAACTTACAACTAGTCCTTGCACTACTGGCTATTGTGGCATCCCCACAGTCACATGATCAGAATTTGAGTGCTTGGCAACTGGTATGTATTTACAATGGTTGCAGCATTCGTTATGGCCCCATTTCTGTGGAACACTCTACCATTGGAAGTGAGAACTGTTTCCCTCCTTTTGAATATAGCTAGAATATTATTGTCTTCAGAATAATACACTCATACACTACAGAACTGCCATCTTAAGCATAGTGGTTTTCACTTACCTTCGCTACTGGTTTGAGACTTGCACGCGCACAAGCGAAGCGAGCGTGTGGCACTTCTGCGCATGCACAGAGCATCCGTGATGATGACCAGGCAGGTGGGCAGAGCCTCCCGCCCCCGCCACTTGACCCGGGGCGAACCAGTAGAAACCCACCACTGATCTTAAGTGAATATAAAAGGGATGCATCTCTAAAGACAGGAGCACATAAAATGTGTGCTGAGAAAATGTAAAATTCTCACAGCAGGAATACAACTTGAAGGAAAATATTTGAACTATCGGCAAACAGATATTTATAAGTTTAAACAAAAATGAACTGACGCAAAGTCTTCCTCATTCTTAAGTAATGTACAAGATCTGATAAGACACTTTTTCTAACTTGCATCTTGTAAAACAAATACTAAATGTCTGATAAAACTCTTTTTTTTCTAACTTGTATCTTGTAAAACAAATACTAAATTGCATACTATTTAGTTTGAGTTCTATTAAAAGCACAGTTTGGGGCATCTCTGTTAAGTAAATTCCACTGAGTCCCATGGTCCTTACCTCTAGCTAAGTCAACATAGTCTTTAAGCTTAACTAAGCTCTTCAGAGCAGTTAGTGACTGTTTAAGTTTACAATGGCACTGAAAAAAATGACCGACGACCATTTTTTTACACTTACGACCATTGGAGCATCCCAATGGTGACAGGATCAAAATCCAGATGCTTGGCAACTGATTCATATTTACAACGATTGCAATGTCCAAGGGTCATGCTTTTGCGACCTTCTGATGAGCAAAGTTAATGGGGAAGCCAGATTCACTTAAAAACCATGGGATTAACAACTGCAGTGATTGAACTGTGGCAAGGAAAGTTGTAAAACGGCAAAATTCACTTAACTGTTTTACTTAGCAACATAGATTTTGGGCTCAATTGTGATCGTAAGTCAAGGACTACCCGTACACCTACATCTGGTAATTGATTATTCAGTAATAAAGGATCTAAAGGGCCACCATCAGTGAGCTGTTGGACAGTATTACTTGGTCTGCTGTGTGGATGCTTGGGTGGTTGAAGGGTGGGGAATTTTTGGTGGGTGGGGGTGTGTCAGGATTGTCATGTGTGTTGGGCTTGGTTTCTGGGTGTTATGTGAATTTCGTAATATGGGTATACTGTGTATTTACATACAATGACAATAAACTATTAAATCTGATGTGATTTCCTAATAACAACTTCAGTGTCTCTAATTTGTGAGGTAATTGTTGTTTTTCTCTCTTTATATGTCATTTTGATGATCCCTACATAAAGCTGCGTTACTAGCACCCCCTCAGAATATTACAATTCTGTCCACGAATATGAAGCACTTTCTCATTTGGAGCCCAGTTGCGGAGATTGTGCCTGGCGAGATTGTAAAATACTCGGTCGAATTTCAAGGGTAAGTTCTTCTTTCATCTTGAGTAGCCTAAAGACAACTCAGCATGACTGATAACTAAATATGTGCTCCTAGACAACTGCAACTTATACCAACCAAATATGTTGGACTAAGATACACCTGATCATACCAGCTGCAAGTAGTAGAAGTTACAGTCCCACAAATCGAGATTACAAGAGGAAGGAAAGCTACAATTTTCTGCTATACTCAATACAATAGTTAACTAATAATGAGGAGGCACCACAGAGGTTTATGAAGTTATTTATGCTATGAAGAACATGAACAGGGTGAATTGTTCTCCATTTTGTCTTGTACTCATAGCAGATGGTTGCCTAGTAGGGCATTCAAAAGAAATAAAAAGAAATGCCTCACATGGTGCCAAGTTGATCAATGAAATTTGGTTCCCTGAAATATGGTTGAGGGCCACCATTTTTTTTTTAAAAAAAAAAGGAAGATAGACTAAGGCCCTTTCTTGGTTGACAGTTACAGTATCCAAATGATTTGCTAATCCCATTTTGCCCCTTGATCACATAATGCTGACTTTAATTTTGTCTTCTATCTGTATTTTTAAGAAGTCTTAGTTTTTATGTACCACATTTACTTTCCCATAGTTATTGAACTGACCATTGTTTGGGGAAAAAAAGTTGACTGGTTAAGCCTTTCATCTGATTCAGCACGTCCTGTTACTAGAAAGGCTGCCGGGGTGAGACAACTTTGTCTGTTAAGCATTTATGGTGGAGGAAGGATAGGCAGCTAGGAAAGATGGGAAAATGTGTTAACACAACACTACAAAATCAGCAGTCGCATCCTTTGTCACTTCCACCCATGCGGTAAGCTCAGAAAAGTCCATTGAGGGAAATCTAAAAGAAATTCTCAAGCACTCCGACAATTAGGTAGAAAAAAAAAGCTTCTTAGAAACTGCAAGACCAATTTTAGATAAGATTCGAAGCATCTTAGTGTGTGCGTGGAGGATGGGTTTACTTGTTCCAAAAGTTGAGCTCCAAAATTCCTCCTAATCGGGATACAAATGCAGGAATATAAGATGGACAGATCTCCCAAAACAGTAGACTGTATCACTTTAGACTATTAGAGAGTGATATCTTTTTCTTTTCCTTTCTTTTCTACTCTACTCTACTCTACTCTACTCTACTCTACTCTACTCTACTCTCCTTAAGAAACCAAACTGCAATTAGAAAAACATTGGGAGAAAATTCTACAGAATAACAAGAGTTGGAAGGGATCTTGGAGGTCTTCTAGTCCAACCCTCTGCTCAAGCAGGAAACCCTATACCATTTCAGACAAATGGTTGTCCTGTCTTCTTAAAAGCTTCCAGTAATGGAGCACCCACAACTTCCCACAAATCGTTCCACTGATTAATTGTTCTCACTTGCCCAGAAATTTTTCCTTGGTTCTAGGTTGCTTCACTCCTTGATTAGTTTCCATCCATATTGGGAGAAAATTCTAAACCCAATCCCCGTCTACTAACCTTGTTTTCTACTCCCAAGGAATTTAAGAATAGCATTTCGAATGTTCTATCTGCTGTTGGGAATGATGAAATCTCTTTTCCCGCCTTAAAACTTTGCCATGGCATTCTGTTGCGTGTATAGGCAAGCTAGGCATGCAATAGTATTGCAACAAATTAACACCCATGTGTGGTTGGATTGGTATCCCCTGCCAGGCTTACATGCCTTTGGGCTTCATCACATTGTAATGCAGATGTGCGGTTGCAGTCGGGGTGGAAGAAATGCTTTTATCCAGAAGGGAGATTCAGTTACAATCTTTACGTTCTCCTTTCTCTGTGACATGAACAAGCACAGTGACCAAGGGGCAGGTGAAAGCACAGGTAGATCATCATCTCCAGGAGGTACTTTGGGCCATCCACAGCAATGTGCTTTCTTCTCATTCTTGAAGGCTTGTTGCTATGTCCTCAACAGTAAACAGCCCTTCTTTGCTCCAGGGCAAGGAGGGTGGATGGATGAGATTTTTGTCAATAATATCTTTAGGGCAAAATGAATTCTCTTTGAATTTAACGTCTCAGGCATCTAAGCCCTTCATGGCATGGGTCCAAATTACTTGAGGGACTATCTCATCCCATTGGATTGGCCCATCCCACCTGTGTTGGCAGAGGAGGCATGCCGCGGGCCCCATCAGTCAAAGTATTCCAGCTGGCAGGATCCAGGAGAAGAACCTTCTCTGCTGTTGCACCTGCCCTTTGGAACCTCTCCCCATCCCCCAGGTCAGCTGTAACCCTCCTGACCTTCCATAAGAGGCTAAAGATCTGGCTCTCCCAGTTAGCTTGGGACTCTAATGGAAATATTTCACATTGGAGCTGTTTTGATAGATTAATGGATCCCACCTCCTACTCAGTCCCTCCCTGTCTTTTAATTTGGGCCTCAGGTATTTTATTTATGCCTTTTAGGTTTTGTATAGTTTTTATCTTTTTAAGCTGCCCAGAGGTACTCAGTGGTAAGAAGGGCCGCCGGTAAATTTTACAAATAAATAAATAAATCTCAGCCAGAAACATGGGAAAATACATTGAAGGACAGAAGGAAGAGGATGAGAAGCAAATTTGGAAAAAGAGGCAAATTTAATGTGTAAATTCATTCAGTTCACACATTGAATGAACAATGTGTGTTCATTCAATGTGGTATGAACACACATTGTTATGTATAAACACACATTATGCTAAAATGATACTTCATCTATTTATTCATCTATATCCCGCTGTTAATTTTTACAAGTAACTCAGGGTGGTGAACATATCCAACACACCTTCCTCCTATTTTTCCTACAACAATAACTCTGCGAGGTGAGTTGGCTGAGAGTGATTGGCCCAAAGTCACTCAGCTGGCTTTGATGGCTAAGGCAGGACTAGAACTCAGAGTCTCCCACTTTCTCACCTGGTACCTTAACCACAAGACTAAACTGTGTGAGAATCTGGGTTTTGAAAATTATAAACCATGATCTATGACTTAGAACTTGGGTAGACTTGAGTATGGTCACAGAGCCTGGTGGTGCAGTGGACTAAACTACTGTTAAAGTAGTATTTAGCTGCCAGCTCCCTGCAATTACTGCGAGTTCAAATCTCACCAGGCTCAAGGTTGACTCAGCCTTCCATCCTTCCAAGGTAGGTAAAATGAGGACCCAGTTTGTGGGGGCAATAAGCTGACTTTGTATAAAATAGAACGCTTAGGGGCCCCCCGAAAGCCCTACTATGCAGGTATATACAAAAGTATGAAGGCTATTGCTTAAAAGCATTGTAAGCCGCCCTGAGTCTCCGGAGAAGGGCAGCATATAAATCAAACTAATAAAATAATAATAAATAATATATCTATGAATTAAACTTTAGGCATTTTTATAAAACAATAACAACAGAAATAGTAATAAAATAACTTTTAGCTGAAGGGTACAAACCTTGTGGTCTTCCAGATGTATAAAATGAGTGTTTCCAATAGCTCTAGGCAGTATTAACCAATAGTGAGAAATTTGGAATTGTAATTCAGCTAAATTTATTCATTTGTTAAATTTGTGCGCTGCCTGACTCAACAACTATGGGTGGTTCACAAGTAAAAACGTATTTTAAAAAACTAACATCTGGAAAGCCACAACTTCCTTTTTCTTCCATTAGATCCACCAACGGGAGCCAGTTACGAGAGAGAGGCTGAAAGCTCTATCCAAGGGGTGTCAAACTCAATTTCATTGAGGGCCGCATCAGGGTTGTGTTTTACCTCGGAGAGTGGGGTAGCCAGGGTGGGCATGGCCAGCTTGACATTACTCATGTCGGGGGCACCTGTGGTGGCCAAGTGCTAAGGCAGGACTTCCCTCAGGCCCTCCCTCACTCTCATAACCTTCCTTCCTTCCTTCCTTCCTTCCTTCCTTCCTTCCTTCCTTCCTTCCCTTCTTTTTCCTTCCCCCTTCCTTCCCTCTTCCTTCCCCTCTTATTTTTCCTTCCTTGCTCCCTTCCCATCTTCCTTTCTTTTTCTTTTTCTTTGTCTTTCCTCTTTCCCTTTCTCCTTTCCTATCCCTTCTTGCATGCTCACATGTAAAAGGGGAAACATTTCTCCTTTTGTTTTGTTTTTAGTTTGTTTTGCTAGCCCCCTGCCAGCAAAAACAGAGTTCAGGGGGCCTTATGCAGGTTTCCTGAGCTCAATTATAGCTGGCAGAGGCACCACAGGCCAGTCCTTTGCTGTTTCCAGGGTAGCCCTGCAGGCCAGATCTAAGCACCCCTCAGTCCCAATCCAGCCCACAGGCCTTGAGTTTGAGACATCTGCTCTATCCTTAGGCTCAGGAAACGAGTTACTATACTTACTTCCAACATACTCTGAGCTATCTTTGTCTACTAGGGATTAGATATCCTAACGGCCTAAAGATTGTTAAAAGGTTAACGATTTGGAATCAGATCTCATTGGTTGGCTGCACATGAGCCACTCATTAGTCGATCTGTCCATTTTTGAACTTATGTACATACATCCAGGGATACCTAATCTCAGAGCTGCAATTACAGTTACAAATAGGGTACCAAGGAAATCATATTGCTTATGAGCTGGCCCTTGCTATTTTATTTATTATATTTGTATGTCATTGAATTCAAATGACTCAGGTTCTTTTCTTTTTTTTCCTGAGGCAATGTGAGGAAGGTCTGATGTTCTCTGTATAGAAGCTGGCATTGTTTTTGTTTTCTTCCTAACTATATCTAGGGAATATGAGAGAGACTATGCCAACGACAGCTGGATTCCCATTGCAGAATGCACAGGTGTTAGTCTTACTCAGTGTGATATCACCGAAGACATATCAGCTACTGTGCCATATAATCTACGTGTTAGAGCATCTACGGGGACACAGGCCTCCCTCTGGGCCACACTCAACGGCTTCTTCAATCGTGTCACAAGTAAGTCTGTGTCCCCTGTTAGGAAATCTCACAACCCCAGCACCTGTCTGAATGAGCCCAGTCTTGAACCTTGTTTTGTTGATATCGGGCCTAGCAACTATTTAAAGCAGCTGCATTGGGTGGGGCAGGATTTTGTGACAGCTTTTTCTGACTGGAAATGGGGCCTTAAACTTCTACTGAGATTGTGATTCAGCCTTCCTCAGTGGGAATGAATAAATAAATAAATAAATAAATAAATAATAAATAAATAAATAAATAAATAAATAATAAGCTTTTTAAGCCACCATTCACATTCAGGAGAGTGCTTGGGAGCAATCAATCAGAGAAGTTAAGTCAGCATAAACAGAGTAAGGACTCCATTTTAAAGAAAAGGCAGCTGAAATAATGCGTTTTAAGAGTCCATTTACTCAATGGAAAGAGGAAAAGACTAATATTGACCATATGGGAAGGAATTGGGCTGCAACAGGTTGCTACATCCATTCAGCATAAAGTGCCATTGCAGTTATCTTGTCTAGTTAGAACCAGAGCACAAGTAACAGATTACGTATTTATTACTACAGAAGGCACCTGGGGGCAAATACGACATTCAAACAACCCAGGAAACATTTCAAGTCCGAGCAAGATTGCTGGCTTTAATGATAGAACTCAGCTTCTACCCCCACTTTAGCCCTAAGGGTTTTCTAACAAAAAAATCAGGAATAGGTCAGGAGAAATAGAGGATAAACAAAAGATGCTTGTCTCAGGAATATAATTAGGGGATCTTGCTTTAAAAAATTCAGCACACTGTCATTAAATTGGGAGGTGTCCTCTGATGAAGGGCTGGATTTACTCCTGATAGATTCTTGTCTTTGGCTTCCTTCTATCCTTCTTTCTTTCCTTCCTTCCTTCCTTCCTTCCTTCCTTCCTTCCTTCCTTCCTTCCTTCCTTTCTTATTTTAAGACAGGGTGATGACTTTTTTGGGGGTCATACATCTCATCAGATGTCCAATAGCCTCGTATCAAAAAAAAATAAAAATAAATCCTAAATAACTTCCCAGATAAAACCACCTCATTAGATTTGGACAACTTGCAAGATGTCCGTAATTTTGAAGCATTTCTAAATATTCATTCAATAGGGTATCTTTTCTGAAACCAGGGGATGCCCTGATAGTCACAATGTTGAGTTGATGATACCTGCTATAAAGTGTATGAACATAAGACCCAACCACCTATTTAGGTCCTTCCTGGTTGGTCACAGCCACATGGTCAGGTCCACGTGGTGGCAAAGTCACGCCTCCCTTGAAGGAGACAGTGGTACAGCCCTTCCTCAAGAATCCATTCTTGGACCCAACAGTTCTGAGCGGTTCTTGTCCCGCCTCCAACCTTCCCTTTTTCCACCTACTGAATATGTGAATCCCTTTTCTTTCTTTCTTTTATAGCATCCCTCATTCCACCAACATTGACCGTCACCACTGATGGATATCACTTGCTAGTAGAATTGGAACACCTGGGACCTGCCTTTGAATTCTGGATATTTTACTGGAAGAAAGGCCCAGAATCTAAAGTAAGTTCTGATCTTACTTCTGATCTGCAATTGTTTGTTTAGATCGGGACTGTCAAACTCCCGGCCCACGGGCCAGATGTGTCACGTGCTGGGCACGCCCAGTTTAGTGAAGGGGGAAAAAGTCCTGATATGTTACATGACACCGCCATGACGATATGAGTTTGAAACCCCTGATTTAGATGGATTGAAAGGCAGGAATGTTTCTTTACTGGGCAAGGTTGAATCATTAAGTCACCCTGAGCTTTGACTGAAACTCTGAATGCACTGCTGTGACTCATCTGCCTTTCTTTGAAATTTCCTGTCATATAATGCTGCCTGCACAGACATGGGATCATTTTGGTTCCTGCATGTGGCAATTCAGCTATCTTGTTTGGGAATATGAGCGCATTCACCTATTGCCAGCCTTCCTAGGTAGACCAGACAGGAAAAACAACCAGGTGAATTAATTCGATTTCATTGTAAGGCTACATTAACAGAAGCTTGAAAGTTTGAATTTCTCACCATCTCCTTTACAGCAGTGTTGGTGAAGGAAATCTCTTTTGAGCTTCTTTCTCTGCCCATTATATGGTAGGTAGTCCTCAACTTACGACAGGTCATTTAGTGACTGTTTAAACTTACAACAATACTGAAAAATATTACTTAAAACTATTTTTCACACTTAACGACCGTTGCAGCATCCCCATGGTCATGTGATCAAAATTCAGATGCTTGGCAACTGGTTCATATTTGTGATATATATTATGATGGTTGCAGTATCCCAGGATCATGTGATTATCTTTTGCGACCTTCTGACAAGCAAAGTCAATGGGGAAGTCAGATTCACTTAACGACCAGGTTACTGATTTAACAACTGCAATGATTCACTTAACAAATGTGGCAAGAAATGTCGTGAAATGGGGCAAAGCTCACTAACAAATGTCTCAGCAACATAAATTTTGGGCTCAATTGCGGTCGTAAGTCAAGGACTACTGCCTGTACACAGCTGCAGGTTATGTGCTCTCTTATTTGACCATTCCCTAGACAGGATCTCTCCCCTGACCCCCGTCTCCCAAGGTTATTCGCCCATATCATTACACCTCTCTGCAACCATTATCAAAACTTGCTTTTGAATCCCACTGCTGCCATTAGAGAGCCGTGGTGGCGCAGTGGTGAGAATGCAGTATTGCAGGCTAATTCTGCTGACGGCTGACTGCCAGCAGTTCGATCTTGACCAGCTCAAGGTTGACTCAGTCTTCCATCCTTCCGAGGTTGGTAAACTGAGGACGCAGATTGTTGGGGGCTATAGGCTGACTCTTGTAAATTGCTTAGACAGGGCTGTAAAAGCATTGTGAAGCGGTATACAAGGCTAAGTGCTATTGCTATTATTTTTTTCCCCATTTATTGTATATGGGAATAAAAATAATAATAAGCAAACTCACCCCGACAGTCAACCATGGTTTTCCCAGTTGTAACATAATAGCTCTGAAAACTGGATCGTCAAAAAGGCTGAAGAAAAATGTACACCTTTGAATTTGGGACTGAAGAAAATTGTTACGAGTATCTTAGAACTACGAGAAGAACAAATAATTAATCATCAGATAAAGTGAAACCATTGCAGCTCCTGGGAAGCATTAAGAAGGAAGTTGAATGTAAAATATTTGGGACGTAAGATGCAAAGGCAAGAGTCATTAGCAAAAAGCTTGATGTTTGGAAAAATCAAAGGCAATAAAAATAGACAATAGAAAATTAGATAATAGCACCAATGATACAAATAGGAGGTTATAGGAACTCTGAGAAACAGGCACAGATACACCATCCTGGCAAACTGACTTCCATCAGGTCACAAGGAGTTAGAAGCCACTGAACCATCAAACAAAAACAACAATGGATAAATGTAAATAATACTACCCTGTTTTTCCCAAAATAAGACATCCCCTGATAATAAGCCGAATCGGGCTTTTGAGCATTGGCAATAAGGCCAAGTGCTTATTTCAGGGTACAAAAAAATATAAAGCAGTGTCTTATTTTCGGGGAAACACGTTATGTAATAGTTGTTATTAGTTGAAATGCAAGAAAAGGCTTTTTTTACCTGCATTCAGTTTTGGTCGTCACGAAGTAAAAAAGATGTTGAGACTCTAGAAAGAGTGCAGAGAAGAGCAACAAAGATGATTAGGGGACTGGAGGCTAAAACATGAAGAACGGTTGCAGGAACTGGGTATGTCTAGTTTAATGAAAAGAAGGACTAGGGGAGACATGAGAGCAGTCTTCCAATATCTCAGGGGCTGCCACAAAGAAGAGGGAGTCAAGCTGTTCTCCAAAGCACCGGAGGGCAGGACAAGAAGCAATGGGTGGAAACTAATCAAGGAGAGAAGCAATTTAGAACTAAGGAGAAATTTCCTGACAGTTAGAACAATTAATCAGTGGAACAACTTGCCTCCAGAAGTTGTGAATGCTCTGACACTGGAAGTTTTTAAGAAGATGTTGGATAACCATTTGTCTGAAGTGGTGTAGGGTTTCCTGCCTGGGAAGGGGGTTGGACTAGAAGACCTCCAAAGTCCCTTCCAACTCTGTTATTCTATTCTATTCTATTCTATTCTATTCTATTCTATTCTATTCTATTCTATTCTATTCTATACTTGGAGAGCCCAAAGTCACCTGGGTGCCTGGTCAAAGCCTCTGATGCATAGCTTTCTTCCCATTGGGGCCAGGTGACCATATTTGCCATGAAGTTCTCAGGAGAAGGTCCGGTTGTGATTTTAATGTCTCACAATGCCCCAAAGAATCCTAAGTCTTGAGAAATTTAAGAGATTTGGAGAGATACTAGAACCAGCTTACTTGGTGCTGCTTGTAATGTTGGAAGAAATGGTTTGATGGGCGGGAGAGTCATCAAAATTACAGGCAGGGGGTCCTTGCCAAACACCCAAGTTGTAATTTAGGAAACCCAGTTGGATCCCATCTTTGTTGATATTTTAGTGTGGTGCTAAAACATTTTTTGATAGGCCGCATTTTTCGTGCATGGTTCAGGCTTGTTTTTTTTTTTTTTTAAATTTGATTGAGATTTGAATTTGATTCTCCGGAGACTCAAGGTGGCTTACAATGCATTAAGCAATAGCCTTCATACTTTTGTATATTTATACAAAGTCATCTTATTGCCCCCACAATCTGGGTCCTCATTTTACGTACCTTAGAAAGGATGGAAGGCTGAGTCAACCTTGAGCCTGGTGAGATTTGAACTTACAGTAATTGCAGACAGCTTGATGTTAATAACAGTGCTTTAGTCTGCTGCGCCACCAGGCTCCTTGTTCTTGTTCTTTTTGTGTTTTTCTTTGTCGTTCCTTTGTGATGCTCGGGTTTTCCTCTACACCCGTTCTTTCTTTTAACTGGTTTACTGATTGCAAATTGCTAATCAATAAAGCAGTATATTGCAGTACGGAATGATTTAACTTCCCGGAGCTGCTTAAATGGCTATCAGACCCAAGATACATGTAGCAATTGGATAACCTGAATTTGCCTACAAACATTCCAGTGTGTACTTTTCCTCACTCCTTCTTACTGTTCTAAACCTTGAGGTTGAATCTCATACTCAAAATACAGGTAATCCTTGACTTAGAACCATAATTGAGCCCAAAATTTCTGTGGCTAAGCAAGACAGTTTGTTAAGTGAGTTTTGCCCCGTTTTAGACCTTTCTAGCCACAGTTGTTAAGCGAATCACTGCAGTTGTTAAGTCAGTAATATAGTTGTTAAGTGAATCTGGCTTCCCCCATTGACTTTGCTGGACAGAAGGTTGCAAAAAAAAAAAAAAATGATCACATTACTCTGGGTCACTGCAGCCATCATAAATACATGCCACGCATCCAAGTTTTGATCATGTGACTATGGGGATGCTGCAATGATCGTAAGTGTGAAAAACGGTCAGCAATACTTTTATCAATGCCATTGTAACTTGGACCAGTCACTAAATGCATGGTTATAACTTGAGGACCACTTGTGTATAACAACATTTCAGTGTGTAAAAACCAGGGGTGAAATGCTCCCAGTTCCGACCGGATCGCCCAATCCAGTAGCGATGGAGGCGGGTGGTTCGGAGAACCGGTAACAAAAATCCCTGCCCCCCCCCATGCCCAGCTGAGCTGTGCAATCATCAGAGGCTTTTTTTTTAATTTTTAAAAGCATTCTTTCTACAACCTCTTCAGCTGAAAAAATCCTTCTAAAAGTAAAAAAAAAAAAGCCTCTGCCGATCAGGCAACTTAGCTGGGATTGTCAGAGGCTTTTAAAAGCATTTTTTTACAACCTCTTCAGGTGAAGAGGTTGCCGAAAAAAATGGTTTTAAAAGTAACAAACAAAAAAAAAAAAGTTGGCCACGCCCACCCAGTCACATTACACCCCTACCCAAGCCACGCCCACAGAATTGGTACTAACAAATTTTACATTTCACCACTGGTTAAAACCTGAAATTCAAAACCATTTGCTTTCCTTTGGATTTTGGAGGCATCCTGCCAAAAAAAAAAAAAAAAACCCCACTGCGATTGTTTTTCCTGTTTAGCAACAGGGGTCCGGGGAAGGGCAAACCAGTCTAGTTAAGGAGACTATTTCACCTAACACGTGGAAATTTCCTTCAGCCTATATTTGTTTTTCCTTCCGTGTTTTACACGCCTAGATTTACCGCAAAATGGTGAGGGAAAGCTCCACCACTGTGCACCTGGAAACGATGGAAGCTGGAGCTGAATACTGCGTCAAAGCTCAGACCTATGTACAAGCGATCAACAGGAGCAGCAATTTCAGCGAGGTGCAGTGCGTGAAATCAGAAGGTGAGAACAAGGTGGATAAAAGGAGTGGGATGGGTTTACAGATTTGACGAAGCTGTTGACTGCATGGACTCTGTAGAGCAGGGGTGTGAAACTCAAGGCCCGGGGGCCGGATCCGGCCCATGGGGCGCTTAGATCTGGCTTGCGGGACCGCCCTGGAAACAGCAAAGGACCAGTCCGTGGTGCCTCTGCCAGCAAAAATGGAGCTCAGGAGCCTGTTTTTGCTGGCAGAGCACTTGGGCCACCACAGGCGCCCCTGACATGAGTGATGTTGAACTGGCCACGCCCAGCCTGGCTCTGAGGTTAAACACAACCCTGATGCGGCCCTCAATGAAATCGAGTTTGACACCCCTGCTCTAGAGCAGTGTTTCTCAACCGTGGCAACTTTAAGATGTGTGCTAGGGAATTCTGGGAGTTGAAGTCCACACTTCTTAAAGTTGCCAAGGCTAAGAAACGCTGCCCCAGAGGGAGCAAATCCAAATGATCTAAACTACTGCGGGAGGATTGGAAGGGGGGTGGGATTCAAAGGGGTAAAATTATTATTGTAGTATTAAGCCCCATAAGACCTTAAGGAGTCCATTCAGCAAACAGTTGTCCAGCTCCTGCCTGAAGACTTCTATAATAACCCTGCTAACCCAATGACTGATTTTGTTATTTCTTGTGTGATCTAAAAAAAATTTCTCTGAGGTTCTCCAGACGAGGGGTCTCCAACCTTGGCAACTTTAAGACTTGTGGACTTCAACTCCCAGCAAAGCTGGCTGAAGAATTCTGGGAGTTGAAGTCCACAAGTCTTAAAGTTGCCAAGGTTGGAGACCCTCTGCCCCAGACTATTTCTGGAGTGAATAGAAATTCCTTTTTGGATAAATTGATCTGGGAAAGGTTTGCTAATAATACATGTCCAAGAGATACCTGCAGAAGGAACTTGCTCAGGTGAAAAGCAATTTGGAGAATGCTTAAAAGCTATTGAGAACGCTGATTGCAAAATGCACTTATTCCATTTGTTTATTTATATTAAATTTTTATGCTGCCCACCTCTCTTGTACCTAAAAATTTTCAATGCAAAGCCTTCACTGAGATATTGATGTCTCCTTCTGCCTCCAGATGCCAAAGTCATACTGTTGACCTTTGCCCCACTCTTCCTGATTATTTTTTTTGTGGCTGTTCTGGTCCTTTCTTTTCTTGCTTGGAAAACCTGTCGGATCTGCCAGTATTCCTTCTGCCCAGACGAGGTCCTTCCAGATACTTTGGTAAGAAGCTCTGCTCGGTGTTTTCATTTGTGGTTCTGAGCCCATCTACCTGAGGTCCAAGATACCTTGCTGTTATTCTTTAAGGACATGGCTTTAAGACATCTGCTTCCCAGCACAAAGCGGAGACGGTTCCATTTCATATGTCTCCCATTCAGTATTGAAATGTAGTCATCTATCCCCCAACTCAGACCTTGCTATGCAGGATGCATGATTGGCAGCAGTTCAGTAGCAACCGGTTGATGGAATATGACCAGTTCCTCTTTCTTGCTTTTGGCTCCTGTGATATGTGTATTCCCTCCCTCTCTCTCTCTTTTTCCCTCCCTCCCTCTCTTCCGCCCCTCTCTCCATCTCTTCCGCCCTCTCTTCTAATCCCCTTTGGCAACTTCTCTGATTATCCATTTTATCTTGAGCAGCAGGTGTGATCAGGCACCAATGTTGAATAAAGAGGTAATCTATGAATCATTCATGGGTTGAGTGGGGACAGCATTGCTTGATCTGTGTGGTGAGTGGGGGTTTCCCAGTAAAGCAGGAAATCCCCCACCCCCATCAATTAAGTTCTGAGCCCAGCCTCACCCCTCATTAGGAAGAGCAATGAGTGAGATCTTTCCTGCAAGCAGGAATTCCACCAACGATTTCCTTCAACTTATCTCCGCATTAAAATTGTCAGGACAGCATTACTTGCCACCTTTTTAAGGAGGTGTAATAGAAGTCAGCTGGCAAGAAAGGGCAAATTATGTCATCTCACAGACTGGCGGAAGACTTGTTAAACTGGCTATGTACTTAATAGTGTTATGCTGGAGAAGGCACATTTTTATCAGTGTAGGTTCTTCTGTAATAGGAGTTTGAGGGATCCTTGGTTCTCTGAGCTTGGTTGTTTTCTTGCAGATATTTCATTACCCAGTCCTGATGATGTTACCTAATTTGAGTAATGAAATGTCTGCAAGAAAACAACCAAGTTTTTAATTAGCATTTATAGCCCACTATTTTTCTATGAAGATGTATTGTCCTGTTTTCCTGAGAATGTATCTGAAATCTCATTTAACGGGCACCCAAACTTGTATCATTCCAATCCAGGCTGTTGATGCTCAGAGGTTTCACCTTCTGAAAGGATTCCCAAGATGATTAGGTATTGAGGGATCTCAATACCTATCAGATCAGTTTGTAACCTAGTTTGGCCAACGCAGGATTTAGATTGGTATAAACTGAGTGGTTAGATTAACAGAGCATTTGATGCTAAGCATCAGAAGATAAGTTACAGAAATTTAGAGTGCAAAATAACAAAAGACACTTGGGACAGAACTTGTATAGTTTCATATTTATTTAGTTTTACCCAAATTGGCTTTCTCCAAATCCTTTGGACAAAGATTGACAGAATTCTCAGCTTCTGAGCTAAGAATTCTGGAAAACATAATGCGATATATCTCAAGGACGACATCTTGGGAAAAGCTGTGGTATCAGTCCAGTCCAGGCTGTTGATGCTTAGAGGTTGCATTTTATTGTTGGAAGAAATATCCTTCTGGGTTCAGTTCCAAGTAGGGAAAAAGACACTGGAAACATGGTGGCTGCTTGAAAAGATGGTTTTATTGGTGGGCAGGATCACATGCCTTGATGATGTTGGGTGAAGAAGAAAAAGGACAGAGATGCTGGGAGCGCCCTAGTTTCATGCCCTCTGTTGGGCCCCACCTTAGAGTTTCCTGTTCCTGTACAAGAAATGTATCCCATTGGCTGTTAGACTCCTAGGGGGCGGGGGTCTTAGCTAATTTTGTAGGTTGTCTGTCTCCCTGGTGCCATGTGGTGAGTCCTGTTGCTAGATGGGTAGAGGGCTAATCCTATCTTTGTTATGTAGAATGGACTGGCTCAGGCGTTAATGGCCCATTGATAAAGGTGGGGGGCTGAGTTTCTACTTCTCTTTTAGGGGAAATATTCTGCCCTTTTAATATTTTCTAAAATATTTCATTTTTCTAGGAGAGGGATGGGTGCTAACTTCTTACAGTATTTGTATTAGAATGTTAGGTCCATCATCTTCTCTGTGGGTGAATTGATTTCTGCAGTAGAAAGGATGTTTCTGGGTATTCTCTACTTAGCTTACCTTTTTTTTCCCTTCTAGAAGCTAACAGCATCACCTGCTAAGATACTAAAGGAGAAGGGAGAAGAGATTGAGAAGTGTGATGAATCAGTGCAAGTGTTGCCTTCCGAAGAGATTTTGCTTCATTTTTGGATCCATGAAACTCTTTAATATCACCTTAAAGACACTAACAGCAAACTGAGATTAGCAGTCTTGCTCTCCTTCTTGACCCCTCTTCAGGCACATCACAAGGTTTCTACTGAGAAGGACCAATTGCACAAAGATGGGAACCAAAATACATATTGATATCAGGGAGAGGTTCCAGCAACCTGGATTTCTTCATCCTTAACTTGACAGAGAAGTGTAGACAGGTTGTGGGTTGCAAACAGACCATCTTTACAGCCACTTACTGAATGACCGTCTGTTTAATTGGGATGTAAGGATCTTGAGCCAATCCCATTCCTCTGGTTCCTTAGAAAGGTAATATTGGAAAGAGGTACAAGTCCAAGTCTGTTTTCTAATTCATGCTTGCAAGCCAGGAGGAACAGAGAAAAATACCAGGAGGTATTCTGTCTTAGTTGTACAGTATATTCCTCTATAAGAAAGCAAGTTGCATGAAATGGCTCTTTTTGGGGATTATTTATTACAACCCTTTTGTGAAGGCTCTCATGTCTTCAGAAAGCAATGGTGATCTAGATGCCACTATATTTCCACTATTACGGAAAGACAATCAGTGAGAGCCAGAAACTCAGAAATTTGGGTTGAGATTTAGTGGATCATTCAATCAATTGTTCAAAGAAAGGCTCAATCATAACCATTCCTAGCAGGGGTGGGTCCTACTTACCTTTACTACTGGTTCGCATCGTGCCCGTGCTCTTCTGCGCAGATCTACTTTGATGATGTCCAGGTCAGTGGGCGGAGCCTTCTGCCGGTTTTACTACCAGTTCTTGCGAACCGGTCTGAACCGGGGGCAACCCACCACTGATTCCTAGGCTTTATGGCCTACTCTGACTATATACTGTCATTCCACATGACTGCAAATCAGATAAGGTCCTCTTTTTCATGCGAATTCTAGAATCAAGTACAAAATTCATTAACTCATAGCTGGCTTGCTGGCTGTATTTTGGAGTATTTTTTTTTTCTCCTTTCCGAGGGTCCTAGATAGCTGTCTTATTTCCAACTGCCAAATCTGAGCAAAACATGGCTGTTTTCCACAAGCTGAAATGCTTACTGCAGAACTGGAATTCAAAGTTTGGATGCTTTCTATTCCCGGGTGAGATTTTAAATGATTTTTTTTTTTCTGGTGCTTTTTAACATGCAAGCACTGAAATGCTTAAACGCGTAGTTAAAATACGGAGCTGAGCTTTTATTTACTTTGTGGCTGTAGCTGTGAATTTTAAGTTCAGTTCACATACTTGGAGGTTTAAGATGGGTGTAAACCTTTGTATATTTCTTATATCAGCCATACAACAGCAACATATCTCGCTGTGTATCTGTATTTACAGCCTGATCATTCCTAAGATTTGCTATGGCTGAAAACAAATGTATGGGAAGATATCAGATAATGTAAAATTATGACTATGGGGCTGGGAGGGGAACCAACCTCTGGCAAATTCACATAAGTTGAGTGGCTTGATTCACATTTCACACTAAGCCATGATGTGATTTGTTTAGTTTTCAGTTTATTGCATTATGAAAATCCAGGAGTTGTGACTTATAGGAAGCTTATGCCTTAGCATGAGGTGCTAAGAATATTATGCATAATATTCAACAACTCTAGCAAAAGAGCAAACTCTAGATTGTATAGTGATGTCCAAGATCCTTTTCGATTTGGTAAATTTTTCCCTTACATGTCTGCCTGTACCTTTAACAAGTGCACAAAAGGCAGAATCTTAATCAGCCCAGCATTTTGTGCCACCGATTCTACAGGCAGGAAAAAACTGCACCAGGAAAATCTTGGTCTGTCATACAGCTATTAAACAACAATCTTCATCTATTAAAAATCAAAGGCAACCTGTTAACAGTAGTTTCATGGAAGGTTGAAGGGGGACAGTTAGAAATTGTAGCTGATCTTTTTTTCCCATCAATCAGATTTTTCTTTCAACCTTAAGGCAGTTAAATCTGTCGTTTAAGAAAATGAAAATGTTAGAATTGCTGTGAACATTGCCTGCTTCAATAGCAATAGTATGCAATAATAGAACAGAATCAGAATGTGATTTATGATTCATGATTTGAACGTTAGACCTGATTTAAATATATACAAAATAATACATAAGTAATCATTTGTTATTTACAATGGATTTATGGCAACTTGTGTAATGGTAACATAAATTTGACAGAATTGTTCCTTCTTTATACTGTAATTCTGTATAATTCAGTATATCTGTTTCAGATAAAAAGGATGCATAGATAGGCAAAAACAATGCATAGATAGTCCTCAGCTTATAATCAGTTGGCACTTCTGTCACTAAACAAGGCAGTAGTTAAACAAGCTGCATTCAAGTTTGTCTTTTTTTTAATGCAGTCATTAATGGGGAAATCTGACTTTCCCCATTGACTTGACTTGTTGGAAATGGCTAGGAAGGTAACAAATGGCAATCACATTATTCTGGGATGCTACAATTTTCATAAATATGTGCCCAAATTTTGATCATGTGACCACAGGGATGGTGCAGTGGTTGTGTGCTGACTTTTTATCAGGGATGAAATCTACTTACCTTCCCAACCGGTTCAGAAGTATACGCGCCACGCCCACGTGCTCACTTCATTCGCGCGCGGACCCTCTGTGCATGCGCAAGCCCTTCTGCGCATGTGCAGAGGGTTAAAACCAGGAAGTAACAACTGGGCGGGTAGAGAGAGCTTCACGCGACCACTGCTACCGGTTCTCCGAACCACTGGCCGCCATCGCTACCAGTTCAGCTGAAGTGGTCCGAACCGGGAGCATTTCATCCCTGCTTTTTAGTACTGCTGTAGCTTCAAATGATAATTAAACAAATGGTCATAAGTTGAGGGCTAACTATATAATGTTGGCTTTAATTCCATTACCAGGAAGAGAGTCTTGCTGAATTAAATAAAAGGAAATACACAAAAACTGAAGTGGTATTGTCACACCTTTATATGTCTGAAATCAGAAAACTTCAATATCTCAATACTCAAAAGAGTTATTTTCTGTTAAAAGCCTCAGTGCTAATGATCAAAAATACTTTCTGGAAAATCTTTGATTCAGTTCTTAAAATTCTTCCTAATAATTTTTTCCTTCCTGGTGTGAAAAAAAATAATAATTCAGTGAAGCTCACTAAGGCGAATCTCTAATTATTTTACATGCGTAGACCTCAAACATGTACAATTCACATCCAAAATTGCAGAAATGCAGGTATATTCAAAGGAGAGCTAGAGGAAGGAATGAAGCTACGTGTGTTTATTCCGTAATGAAGCAAAGGCATTTTGCTCAAGGATAAAATGTTTCAGACATCAAATCAAATCAAATCTTTATTGTCAATGCACAACATGTGTACAATGAGATTGAGTGGTGCAGACACCCCCCCAACACAGAATACATCTCAATAACTCAATAAATAAAACAAGAAAACCCCTAAACCCAAATAAATAATAACTGGCACACATTCCCATATACATATATGTATATAACATTATATTATGTTACACCGGTATGAACATGTTGCACTGGCCCTACAAGTCTTATCATATTAAACCTAATAGTGGTGTTACGTTGTGTTCAGAAGTCTCATGGCCCACAGATAAAAGCTATTTTTCAGCCTATTCGTTTGGCTGGCTATGCTTCTATATCTCCTGCCCGATGGTAGGAGAGTAAAGAAGTGCTGACCAGGGTGTGAATCATCCCTGAGGATTTTCCTCACTCTGCTAAGGCAGAGGGTCCTGGCGATTTCGTCCAGTGAGGTCAGGGGGCAGCCCATGATTTTTTGTGCTGTGCTCATCACCCTCTGTAATGCCTTTCTGTCCACGGCTGTCAAGCCAGCGTACCATACCGTAACCATAATATTGAATTGATAGTCTGTTCATCTTTATTCCATTACAAATGTTAAAGATTATTTCTAGGTAACCATGCAAACATTTGTAACCTAGAATTACATTTTTAAGAACAATAAATATTGTATTAAATTTGCTAAATTTGCAGGTATATAAAAAGGTAAAGGTAAACGACTATGTGCTAGTCGTTCCTGACTCTAGGGGGCAGTGCTCATCTCTGTTTCAAAGCCAAAGAGCCAGTGCTGTCCGAAGACATCTCCGTGGTCATGTGGCCAACATGACCAACCCCCAAAAGCGCACGGAACATTCTTACCTTCCCACCAAAGGTGGTCCTTATTTTTCTACTTGCATTTTTTACGTGCTTTCGAACTGCTAGGTTGGCAGAAGCTGGGACAAGTAACGGGAGCTCACCCCGTTACGCGGCACTAGGGATTCGAACCACTGCCGACCTTTCGATCGACAATCTCAGCGTTTTAGCCACTGAGCCACCATATATATATGTGTGTGTGTGTGTGTGTTTAGTTTGTGTATATGTATATGTATGTATATATATATGTGTGTGTATATACACACACACACACACACACATATATATACAGATATACACAGATTACATGTAGGACATTTTGATTTGCTAAAAGTGTTTCTGGTTGAATTGAGAAGCACTCTGTAACAGCTCCCTTAGTTTAAAGCAAAAGATTATTACAAACCGCAGTTGACAATCCCCCATTCATTCCGTGCTACGGAAAGAAAAATCCATCTCTAAAAGCAAACCCTGCGGCAACATAGAACCCTTTTTTCCACCCCCCCCCCCCCCCCCCCCCCCAAAAAAAATCTTACACAAATTCTTGGTTTTAAGATCCGAAACGATCGACTAAAATTTTATTGAATCGGGTGCAAAATCCTAACGGTGATCTCACGTGCCTGGAAAGGCCATAAATTATATTTTGTGTTGTCTCGTTCTGCATTTCAACGGAGAGGAGGAGGAGGCTTTTCCTAGCCAGCCCTGGGTTTCATGCGCCAGGTACTTAAAAAGGTCGCCATTTGCTATTCCTCCTCCCGCAACAAAATGCCTTTCAGCGGCATCTAAAGTAGATCCACAGGGATCAGGGAGTCCTCTCCTAATCCAGCCTCCGCTGTTGGGGGGGGGGGGACAACAAGGGGGGGGAATCGTTTTGAACGTGAAAGGAAAGA